AAAAATCACAATATTATTTTTTCTGATCGTTCTATCCAAGGAATCATATTTTCTTTTTATTGTTTCATTCATATGCTAAAAGGGATTCGATTTTTTCATTCTGATACGTAATCACTTGCTTCAATTCTGTTACTTCAGCTTTTAAAGCTTCCACTTCTGATTCGAGGTTTTGAGTAATCAATTGTGTATGTCGTTCATTTTCTTTTTGTATGAACTGCTTGAGTTGTTCGAATAAATCCTTGTTGGATCCACTCACTTCTAAACAAAGTCACGTTTGACGTTCAATTATGAATTATCAATAGTGTATGTACCGCTTTAGAATTAAACATGGGCAATCAACATAAAAACTGTTAGTGTTTTGTTCCGTACTCAGTGAATATGGTGTTTTCATCCATAAACCTATATTCAAGGGAAGGTTATGTGCAAACTTCAACTCACCTAGAGGGATGTAAATTTTTTGAAGCTGAAACTGTTATATTTCACTATTCATTACGAAGACTGCCAAAAACCATTGTTCTGCTAAGACACACCATACATATATAGAATACTACTATAATTACCACGAAGACAGCTATAGTTAGCTGCGGGACATCCGGGTCCAGGAAATCATACAGATATGAAGGATATTGCGGGTGTAAATCCAAGAGATAATTTTAATAATGACAGCACTCAATTAGAGCCAACCATAAACACGTACCTCATAAGGTACGTTCTTATGTTCAGGAAGAATTTTTGTTCAATCTACATTTTTTTCAAATATTTTTAAATTTTTCAATACATTTCATTCATCAATCACTGTTGACATAATTTCATTGAGTGACTGTGATTTGGAAAAGATGATTATATTGTAAGTATACAATATTATGGAATTGCCTCTGGCTGATCTATTTAGAAATAAAAATCAAAACTACTTGCCAAACCAACGGTTCCTTGGAATATTCCATATATTTTTATAAATGAAATTTTATGATTCATAAAGTGTGTTTCATCGAGAAATTCTTCTCTGATTAGGTTAGCATATCCAATATCGCCATCGTGTTTACGGTGAGGAGATTACTTTTTTGCGCGTCATGTGTTAAACCGGTAAGGACATTCAGTAAAATATTCAACTTACAGTTCATAAAATAATGAAAATAAAATGATTAATGTTGTCCTAATTCATTTTGACACTTCTATTTTCCATTGAGTTGATTGAAATCAATATTTATGGCGCGTTTTTGGTCTGTTTGAATTTCTATCATTGCTATAAAATGAAAAAATACATGCAAGTGGCCTAAATTTATGGAAATCACACATGAACAATTGAACGATTATTTAAAATATTTCCAGTAATCAACTGTTTCCTGCCTAGCTAAAACAGCTAAAACAGCTAAAACTATTCTTGACTTTCGCATTATGTAAACATTGTTTGCATCTGGAAGTGAACGTAACATCCCTTCAAACCCGATGCTATGCAAAATGTTTTTTTCAGTTCTGGAAAATCATTTGTCTTGAAAGAGTTCCAGATATTCACTAAAAAATAATTGGATTCAATTCTATAGTTGATATATACACAGTATGACTCATTATAGTTAAACCAATGGCATATTTCGATTGAATTAGTTACAGTTGATCTTATTATTTTGAAATTCTCTTACGTAGGGTGTGTAATTCAATATATTCAAACTGATATTTGTTTTTATGCGCAGTCACGCTTAAATCACTTATCTCTCATGCCTTGACCTCTTGCAACATTTCATTATTTGATATCTAGTATACCTGGATGTTTTCTGGGTTTTATAAAATTTCATTTAGCTTTTTATCACAAGTTATTGTCTGATTAGACTCTTCAAATGTTTATATTACGCATTATCTTTTCAAGGTAAACTTGCTTATACATTGATCAGATTCTCTGTTGGTCTATATTCATCAGTTTTTCAGACTGTGGAAAACAATAAGTAACATTGACTCCCCCACAAAAATTAATGTCTTCAAAAAATATATAGTGCGGACTTAAATAGCCCCACCTTTTTACTTTCGATCGGGGCAAGATATCAGAGTTGGACACATTTTTTGTAAGAAGAAATCATTTTTGATACTTTTTGGTAAAAAATTTAATCCGCCTAGAGAGCGCATTTTTTTCAAATGTGAGGTCTTGTGACATTGAGTATGAAAGGTATTTCAATTCTCTATACAATGACCTTTTTTTATTTCTATAACCGGTTGTGAAGATATTGGTATTTGAATTTGGAACTAGAAATTCCGTGATTCCGTCACCCTATGTTAGATTTTTAAAGTTAATGTTCATTAGGAAGAAAAATAAGTCAGTAACATCTTTTGCAATCGATAATTGTCAATTTAGAAGGCATATAACGGGAGCATTTCATTTCAACCACGTTATTAATTTTTTATACATAAAACAATCATTGAAGCAAATATTCAAAATTTAACTTTCAACCCCCTTAAAGTAAATACTCGATTTTTGAACTCATTTCTAACAATGCTAGCACATTATGGTGTCACTATTTTTCGGGTTCGAAGGCCATGAATTTTTGGAATTTCGTCTTGAGGTTTGCTGGCGCGAGTGGATAGCTTCTTCAGAGATTTATACATCCTGAATTTACATCCGATGACTGAATATTACGGTTCAGTAACGCGTATTCATGATGTGCCAGGTAGTTGCTGATACCTGTACCTGGATTTGGGAATTTGTCGGTAACATTCATTGATGTTTTCCACCTGGTGTCATGCTGTCTTCTGTTTTGTTGAAATTATTCGTGTGCTTGTGGATCTCCATTGCCTCCCGTACCAGTCGGCTATGGTATCCTTGGTTGGAGGCTTTGAGTTCTGTATTTTCATACGGAATCCCGTGGTTTTCTTCACGTGCGTGTTCTGTCCGTTTGACACAGTCTGCAGTTTCTTTCATGCTTCTTCAGCCTTGTTCTCATGAATTTTTTGGTGGTTCTGATATGTACCTTCCCACCAGTGCACGGTATGCGATAGACCCCTGCTGCTGATAGTGGGTCCCTTTCTTCGTTTGCCGACAAAATAGTGACACTGAAAACCTCGGCCGCGAACGCCTTAACCATTTTGTCATGAACTTTTGATTTAATGGAGAAATGATATTGAGGGACGTGAACGGAAGAAGGAATGAATGGATACGATTCGTTAATGAATTAGCAGTAAATGTGGTGAAGGATGAGCGTGATGGATATATGGTAAGTTGCCAGCTTATCGGTGTGGAGCTGGCAGTGAGGAATGGTCGTGATCTACTCAATTAGGACAGGTTATAGAATCTATGACTATGTTGTAACTTCTTTGACCCAGAACAGAAATATCTAGCTGCCTAAGAACCTATGCGACTGTATTTCAAGCGGAAATTTACGCTATTGAATTGTATGCGGAGAGATTGGAATAATCCAACCTCATACATAAGTCAATTAAACTATTCTTGGACGGTGAAGCGGCTTTGAAAGCTCTTGGCTCCTACCGAGCAACGTCTAAATTAGTAGCAAATTGCCAAAAACGACTCTCTTCGATAGGAAGATTCAACAGATAGTCTCTGGTCTGGATTACTGGCCATACTGGTCTGGAAGGTAATAAAGCTGCTGACTCCCTTGCAAAAGGGTGCTGCAAGCAGCTTCATCGGACCAGAACCTGTCATTGGCATCGCTTTAGGCTTTGCCAAACAAACATTGAACACCTGGATGGCAAGACGATTTATGGACTTATGGCAGAATCTTCCAGGATTGGCTCACTCCAAGGCGTTTATTCACCCTTCGAAGCTTGATACCAAACAGTTGTTGGACTACAGTAGGATGCACTACGATGTCAAACAGGCCTTCTTACAGGTCATTATCATTTGAATCATCATATGCAGAGACTCGGACTGTCGGAAAGCAGTGTGTGTCGCCTCTGTTTGGAAAATGATAAACAACAGAGCATATACTTTGTGCATGCCCCGCTGGGGCAGACACAATCTTTCTTCAGTTACCATCAAGATGAGAATTATCAGCTTAATTTTTTCATAAAATTAATTGTGTCAGTATTCAATTATTTGTATAATGATATTGGAATAACTTATGTTAATAAATAGAACTTGGTCTTCCATCCCACTGGTTTGTCCCACCGTTTGCACGAAGGACGGGAGAGTTCGGGGGAATATGGGTTTCCTTGATAGTGACGCTGGACAGATAGAAGATGCCCAGTTGTAATTCCTTCTGGCAGATCTAGGCAGAGGCATTATTCATGTATAATAATATTCCAATAATGTCCTATTAAATAAAACATTTCAAAATAAATATTTCCAATAGCAACAATTTTGAAATTATATATGGAAAGATTGAAATGAATTTTCTTATTTGAAATAAGTATTTGAAATTGCACAAATTATTGCTTTATTGCACTATTGAATTTTTCTTGCATTATTTCCACTTTAGAACCGTTTTACACGGGCATTCAATTCCACGGGCTGGAAATTATGCGTTGAGATGGACGTTGTTGAGATATATGGAATTATTTTCCAGCAGCTTGGTAGTATGTGTAACAGGAGAGAATAACGGGATTTTAGGTCAATACGCTTTTGGAAAAGTAACTCACTCTATACAAATTTCGTCTCAGAAATGAGACTTCAAGACACTATAATGAAAATACAATAGAAAACAAAGCTGACTGTAATGAGATCATAGCCCGACAAGATTAAATAGAGTGAGTTCGTTTTTCGAAAGCCTATTGATCAAAAATTCCATTACTGCGTTGCAATCTCACAAAATAAATTGATTTACGAAAAGTCACAAATTTACGTACTGGGTGACATAATAGAAAAGTGACACAAAAGTCACTTGTACTTATCATAATTAGAATGGAAGTCAGATTCTCATAAATTCTTCGGTCCGCAGAATTTCTCGAACTCGAGATTGCATGTCGCTAGCTGCCATCCCCCATTCTTGACACATTTCTGCATGCTCCTTAAGTGTCAGACAAAAAACACCTGACAATATTTTTTCTCGTTTCCATATTAGTCTTCAGAAGCAGGTGAGCGTTATGAGTATGAACCTTACCGCCAAGCTGGACGAGTTGCAACGCGGCGACCGCCATCTTGAAACTACCGTTGCGCTTTGTGAGATTCGAACACAGCTACAGGAATTGACAAAATCTGTGGAGTCCTGTCAATCAGAAGTCTCGGAAGTTAAAAGGGATATGGTGGCGATCAAGAACGAGCTGGATACAGTACAGCAAGTGAAGGAGGAAATCGAAGAGTTGAGGGAGTACGTGGATCGGTTGGAGGAGCACTCTCATCGAAGAAAGTTGCGTCTGCTGGAACAGGTGTGTTTGATGTTATAGCTTGATGGTTGTCAGTAGTACGTAGCTGGTAGATGATGATATTTTGGTGTATCTGATTTGAAATCAAGAAATTAGAAGGTGCAATTGTTTGTATGATAAACATCAAGCGTACAACTGTGGAGAGCACAAATATGATATTATGAATAGTTATAATAATAATTAATTTATGCTATAATACAATCAACAGATATGACAAATAAAATAAACAATATACTCGATAACACTTGTTTTGAAAAAAATTAGTAAAAGTTTTGAGTAAATGAAACATGAATGAATAAGTACGTAAATCTCAGCTTTCTCAGTAATCTTGGTGATAGTGATATTATAATATAGCATTGAGGTTATCCTAATGATGATATACTGAATATTGAAACAACTGAACAAGATAAATGGGCTTGTTTCATGATTTTTTGTTTACAGTTCATTTGATAGTAATTTCAAATTGATAAATAGTGCACTTTGTTTCAGCTCTCTAAATACCATTGTTTTGCCATAATTAATTACTAAAAATTCAATTTTTTTCTGCGAATATGAAGAGGCATTGGGACCGATTAAGTTCGATAAGTATAATATACCCCTAACTCGATCAGTCTATAAGCAAACCAGTATCACTTTCATTAGCATGAAATAAGCCCATTGCAATCAATACAATTCTGGAGGATCTACAATGGCCCCATATTTCATTCCCCTATATTTTTTCTATCTGCAGATATGTTTACTACGAGAATCCAACGCCACTAGGAGAAAAAAGGGTTCGAAGATATTTTTTTTGCTCTATCATAAGACAAGCATTAATAGAAATTAGAAAACAATTCGAAGATTGATTTAATTTATGAATAACTTAAAATGCTGTAGTGAATTTATGGTTTTTGAAATTGTTCGAGCTGATTTTCTTAACTATTCTATAGCATTGAATAGAGAAGTCGTTATCTTTTGTGATATTATTTCAAACCACTTTACAACATTTTGACCCTAGGAGCGTCATCATGCAATTTTTTTTTGTATTCCCACCCTTGAAACTGGAAACTTTACAACATTTTGACCCTAGGAGCGTCATCATGCAATTATTCCTTGTATTTCCTTGAAACTGGAAACTGCGGCACAGCAAAGAAACGTTAGCTCGAAAGCAACTTCACGGTGCCTAAGCCGTTGCAATAGTATCTCACCGGGCGATGATGGGTGGGTCCAGCATCTACCATAAAGCAATTTATATGGAATATTGCCGTTATTGAGACTGCGACTCAACGGACTTCCGCTGGAAGGATGCATACATAATAGTACATATACTCGAATTTTGGAATAGTCCACCAAAAATCATCAACTTTTATCTATTGAATAGGTGCAGTGTATACTTTCCTTGAGTAGATGATATTCCACCAAGTCTAAAAAATATGGAGATGGAATTGTTTCTCAACAACAAATCCCTTAATATCAACGACTGATAGTCTTAGATGCGCAACAATCGACTGACAGAAACTTCGAATTAGTTTCCCTTTTCAATAAATCTGCTGAGTGGGAAATGTTCGATGATGGTATCATGCATGATGATGCAATAACTTCGGGTGATGAAAGGAAAATAAGCCGTTGCTTCATTTTCGAGTTTGACATCAACATTGAAACTTTCAATGCTCTCATCCCTTCTGGAGTGATCTATGTCGAAGAGTGTCTTATTCACAAAGTTGACATAGGTCAAAAGCGAGTTGTGCTGTGTGATATGATATCCAAGTGACTGAAATCCGAAGGATCATTATTGACCTTGGTCTGATCATGATTCTTTTGAAAGCAAACGATAACACATCGATGACTTTCGAGAAACGACGAAGTTTTAATGGACCATATCATAGATAGTATATATTTAGGTATTACAAACTAATTTTATTCCAAAGCTTATGGTTATAATACGTGGTGCTGCTAAGTGATTTCAGGAGATGAAATAGACTTCGTCTACTGAAAATTCTGGCTGGACTGGTGAAATTCACATCGAGAAGAGTGTTGCAGTTTTGGTCATTGAGAGCAGTTCTTGTTTTGGATCCTAGAATTCTATAAAAATGTTGTCAACTGAATTCATGATGTTTATTTCATTATTAGGTAACAATGATAACTATAATGAACCAATATAAATTCAACTTATCAAGTAGACGAATACACATTTGAATATAAATATCAAATATATTATTATAGGAGCATAAAAAAACATTCTCTCAGTTCTCTCAAAGGTGTGATTTCATTCCATCCTTTTCATAAAAGATGACTTATGCATGCTTCTCAACTCACGAACGATTTTGGTGAAATTGGTGACACGTGTGAATCATTGTATTTGTGCCACCTGCCAGTATACGGGTGTCTGCAGTATGCTGTGTATATAAATATTTCTGTTGAAGAGAATCTTTTCAAATGTATTGCTAAAATACGGGGAATTTGTGGGACTTTGTGCATTTTCTCCTTTCTTGCATTTCGAACACGTCGGTCTTTCATTCACATCCTAAGTTTCTTCTCTTGTGAACGAATTGAAGCATTTCGGCAAACTCCACAGTATGTGCACTCCATCGTGAATTTCAATTGAACAACGAAAACATTTACAATCTTAGAGTTATGTATCCTCAAATATTCGAGCCGCGTCTCTTGTGTTTTTTCGCTGTCGCTCAATTTTTCGTCTCCGTTAAGATCGGTTCAGGTTTCTCATTAATTATATCAACGTCCTCATGTAAATCTTCTGAAATATAACGAAATAACTCCTGGGTGTCTTGATGAGCATTACCCATGAATCGAGAAGCAAAACTTTGAATATAATATTTTAAAAAGACTGTTTTTTTTCTGTATTTTCTGATCGCAATTCTTTGATGACTTCTGCAAACGCTTTGATTAAAGCACCCTCCATACTTGCGGTGTTGCGGTGGAGGGTCGAATAGACCCACTTACTTTGGACGTAACCTATCCTANCTTATGTACCGCTCACATAGCCTCTCCATGGTTTTTAATAAAAACGATGTGAGACTAATTGGTCGGAATGCTTTTGGTAGGGTGTAGTCTATCCTACCTGGTTTGGGTATAAATACTACTCTTACTTCTCTCCACTTACTGGGAATATACCTCAGAGCTAGAGAGGCTCTGAATATTCCAACCAGGTGTGGTATAAGAGTGTCCAGTCCCCACTGAAGTAGGGCTGGTCTTATACCGTCCTATCCTAACCTAACCCTCTATACTAGAAATACTAATATTGATATCTTTCATGAATTCATCCTCTCTCAAATATTCCAGTAACCATCTCGTGTTTGATGAATATTAGATTACGCTGGATTACAGGTGTTGCCAATACTTTTCAACCCATTCAGCCCAAAGCTTTTGACTGAAGAATTCGGACTGGACAATTGGAAATATCTTTGAAAACCATTTCAGAATTTTACTGAGATAAAGTAATTTTTCCATTTGCTTTTGTTTCCATAAAGTAGTTTGTTGTTACCTTTCTTTATAAAGTTGGTTTTCAGAAAACATGTAAATTTCATCAAGTTTTTTAGAATCAGGCTGAGTACCAAAAAACGAAGCCGCTTTTCTTCTTGGGTTGGCTATACTAATTTTTTGAATGAGAAAAGATGTGGCTCTTGATTTGTGGGTTTCATTGGTTACATTTTGTCCAATTTCGTTAATGAAAGATAATGCCTCAGCCCAAAAACACCAAAAGTTTCAACAGCTATTGGGCAAAAGATATAATTATATATTTCAGTAGTTTGGAACTTTCTCCTAATGAGGTAACAGCACCGGCCTTCGCAGAAGTAGCACACAAGTATCCACACAAGTAAAGTCCCAAACAACCAATTTACCGTTTTTCCATAGAACAAATATGGCCGTTTTCCGTCGTCTCGACTTGTACCTATGGGTGCACCACATTTACGAAAGTGTTGAACATATCAGGACACAATCAGGACAGACAGGCAAAGCGAGTGAAGTGGCTAAACGAATCCCTAATCCTACTCTAGAAACTGGAAGTGATGCCTGTATCCAAGTTTCGTCTTTGGTACGGTTATTGGTAATCCATGTTCGTCATGCCAAGTACGGCTGCCCCTCGAAATATACGATAATTTTGGAATCGCCAATAAATTCTTCAATAAATGGAGTGCTACATGTCATGGAGAAATAGATGAACTTCCTGACATGACACGAAGTGATTGTAATTTTTCTACCAAACAATATTTTAAGGCATCTTCAGATAGTGGGGCACCAAGAAAAAACTAATTGGGTTTTTCAATCACACGTATACCAAGAGCTATTAAATTGAATTGATCAATGATGATGTGGGTCCTGTTCATCCAGAAAACTGAGTTCACATTCCTCCAAATTTAGCTCAAGTCCCAGATCTTTCGAATGGCTTATTGTGTTACGAAAATTTTCTAATATAACATTTGCTGTGTCACCTATACAGCCTTCATCCAGATACCAGCCTTTGAATTCAGTGGATATTTTAGTTATATTATGGTCGATATGAAGACAGAACAATAGTAGTCCATCAGTGCATCAGTGCATCACAGTGCAACATCTGTGCAACAGTGCATCACAAGAACAATAGTAGTCCGAGCGGATCTTTCCATTGTACTCCTCGTTCGGATATTATAATTTCTTTACCAAATATAAAAAAGGAAGGTTCACTGTAACATTGTTCAAGGAAAGAGTATATTTCTGGTATGGCGTTGGCAACCGAATGTAATATATTATTCCTGTCTATAGTATTTTAAAATCAAGTTTTAGGAAAACTTTTTCAACTGGGTTAGGGTTTTGATTAATATAACATCGTGCAGTATATGCTACTGCTTCGCAGCCACCATTCTTCCAAATCCAAATTGTTGAGGACGAAATAGATTTCCAAGACTTTCTCGTAGATTGAAAGAAGCAAGTTTTGCTATAACGCCAATAAAAATGTTCAACAGCTATAGGACGTGGGCCGCTTTCCTTTTTTTAAGGCACATGAAGAAGCATCATATAAAATAGGACGTATGTTTTGATTGACCTTTGCAGAAAGAAGAATATTGAAAGTATTCAAAAATTGTCCACCACACTACCGGAACTATAGCTCAGCATATCTTGAATATGGGACGGTCGCAATGAATCAAGATCTACAAGAACCGGTGCGAAGAAATCTGACCGCTCTGAGAACATCCACGCTCATAACTATCAATAAATATTTGGAGGATTTCACCTATACTTCCCTCTTAGAGTAATATAGTTGGGGAATGATAGGTAGAATTGGAACCTCTGCTGTAAAATGACTATGATGGAATGAGAAGGCTTTTTCTTCCAGTTTGTATCTGAAAATAACTTCTATGCATCATCTTCATAAACGGTTTAGTTGCTTCCTTTTTTTCTTTTTTAAGTTTCCTCACATTTTTTCTATAAAAAAGTTGTTACAGCAAATAACTCTGTAGTTTCCCTGCTGTACTTGATTATTACTAGTGAATGTTAGTTGTGTATCACAGAGAAATATGAAACGTGTTCTATACCAGCGGCTTTCTCGATATATATATTTTTTTTTATTAAATATAACCTATGTTACCCGCCTATGAAGCTGATAATGATGTTTGAGTAGTTTTATAATTTAGAGCAAACAAACAAACAAATCTTTCTATAACTTTTCTTCAGAATAGTTTTCAGTTTTCACATCCCATAATATTGGGATGTGAAAGAAGTAGACTAATTCTTCACTTCCACTGTACGACATACATCAATAAAGTCAGGTAGAAATTAGCGGGAAATTTTCTCGTGGAAGTTCTCGCTAATGTTAACAGAGTGATTCATTAAAAAGTAAGAAATGGATTGTTTGGAATGGGACATTTGTCACTGTTCATAGTTCACACGCCACCATTCGATATTTCCACACTTTCGAAAGCATCCGATAATTCGGTGTTACGTACCGATATCAACAATTTCAGACAGACAGAAAGTGACACATGACACTACTTTTTGGATGTGGCATTAAGAACTATGAACAGTGACAAAGGTCACCCATTACAAACTGCCCATTATTTACCATTTTATGAATCAATCATTTACTTTTTTAAAGTCCGCGGATGCCACATAGAATATAACTGTGTTGAAACTGATCTACCATATCAAAAATGAATAACATTTTTTATTAGACTGTGGCTATGAAATAACAGTTTCATTTCTTGAACATGTAGAATTTTCATACCTGTTTATTTGTTTTCTGTAGTCATCCCGCACTCTTTTCAGGGTTTAACATTATTCCTGTCCTACGCTATCCTGGCTGCAGTTCTTGGAATGTTCCAGTTCGGTTTCAATACGGGAGTTATCAACGCTCCGCAGGGCAACATCGAGAGCTTCATGAAAGATCTGTACAAACAACGGTATGGCACAGATCTTGACAAGGACGCAGTAGAGAGGCTCTACTCAGTCGCCGTTTCCATTTTCGCTATCGGTGGCATGCTGGGTGGCTTTGGGGGCGGCATGGTAGCTAATAAATTTGGCAGGTGAGATAATACAAGTTTTCTTTTGCTGCTCAAGTGTAATTATGCATTGCGTTCATAAAGTAACACAGAAATTCATTATGAGGTGAATAAGCAATGTAATATTACCGAAACTGGTCTATTCTGAATTTTGATTTTCTGTTTTTTCGAAATAATAATTGAGTATACTTCCGAGTAATAATGCCACCGTCGGTGGAGCTGATTCCAAAAATATTGCATAAATTGCTTCCATTGCTTGTTATGAAATAAAGACAAACGTAAAAAACTTTTATTACATTTGAGTTAATCAATTAACTGGATGAAAATCATGCCTTATACAGTGTGTGATATCGAGCTTCCTTCAGAAGTTTGGGATGGAGTAAAAACTTGAATTGAAGGGGTTATATTTTTAGGAGTGATTAATTTTTGGGAAAGAAAGTTTTTGACTTTCTACTACT